GACTCGAGCGAAAAAACAAAGAAAAGTTGCCGAAAAATTCTTAAGAAAATTGCTACTGGAAAATATGTACATACATACATATGTACATATATGAACATTTTCTCTCTCGCAAAAGCTGCTGCCTGTTTGCGCATCAAATATGAAAATCTTGTATGTGGAATGGTGTTCCATTTAAGACAATTAACAGTAGCAACTTTTCTAGATGGCAATTTCATAAGCAATTTAGAGCCTAATATTCTACTCTAGATTGTTGTTCACATGACAAATTAACGAACAGATACCTAATAAACGGAGCTGACTGGCTGAGAGAAACGTAAACACATCCACTTCTCGCAGAGCAACAGCAGCTCAAGAATTTATACAAATCTGATTTGAGCCAGGCCAGAAGAAAAAAGAATGTAGAAAATAAAGCCAACAAATAAAAGGCCCGAAAGGCGTCTCTGATGTTCTTTGTGCTTATACATACAGTAGTATGTATGTATGTATGTACATATCTGGCCTAGACTCTGTCTGGCCGTCTGTCCGCTTGTCTGGCTGTCTGCGTGAGCATGCGTGTGTCTGTTAATGTGTCTGTGTGTGCGAGTAATTGAAAGGCTAATGAAATTTTCGTCTTTATGCCATTGAAAATTGTTTTTCGACGCTAGAGAGAAAAAAGTAACAAATATGCAGGCCCAAAGCAGACGATAACTAAAACTAACATCCAATTCAATTTTGCGTCGCTCCACGGCAGCAAATTAGAGATGAGCGCGTGACAGAACGTAAGGACAGAAAATATATTTAAATATGGGTATACTCTGAAACAAATTCAAAATATATGTTTACGCTGTTATTATTCTCGCCTTCCATTATAACTCTCCACAAGAACGAGTTCCCGGTATTCCTCCTGTCACTTGTTAGAAATCGCTACTTTTTCCAATCGACTTGTTTAGTTCTTCTGTCGTGCCTATCGAAATCAGAGCAATCCTATGCCAGTGACTCAAGTAGCCATCTCGTTCTCGCTCAGGAACACTTGAGCCACGTTCAGCATATACATACATACATATGTACATAGTTGACTCTTTCGTATTTTAAGCTGTCAATTTATAATATTATTGTCAATATGAAGTATTAAAAACTTATATTCTTAAAGTCAACATGTTCTTAAATTTAACATTTCTGTATTTGAAAATATTTGTTTATTTGTATTTATTTATTTTTATTGATTATTATTAGCCTATTTATTGATTTATTTATTATTCTATTCTATTCTTTTTTATTTTATTGAGTCCCGTTTTATGTTTGCTGGGAAGTCACGCGGAAATCTCTAGTCCGGCGGCTAGTAGCGATCATGAGAGGGACGAGGTTGGGCGGCTGCGGTTGAAATTAAAAAGGAATTTACCCAAATTGCTATTGAAGCCCGCGAAGTGAAACGTTTGCGAGGCTTTTGCTTTTGCTTCTGCGGTTTGGGCAAAGTGCCAGGCAAAATGCTGGCAACAGTTGCAATTGTGGCGGTGGACGGCGTAGGCATTCGTTGATGCGAAGGGGCGGCAGGGGCAGCTGACGGGCGACAGTTTAATTGGGTTAGCAACGTCAACGGGCGTCCCAGAGTCGGATCATTGGCGCTGACATGCCACGAGTCTGGAGGCTGTTGGCTGTTTGGCGGGAGATCAGTGCATTGAAGTGGATTGAAACGCAGATGAGAGCTGCCTGCGCCAATGTCAATCGCAATCCCAATCGATTTTCGTGCTCACCGTCCACTGGATTATTTCGTAATTAAACGCAAATGCAGCGGCCATTGCCCAGCGCCTTCACTCTTTCGTTTTTGCTCAAATGAAGCGTAAAAGCGTGCGTGGGCGTGGGCATTGGCGTGGGCGTGGGCATGGCCAATGAATGCTGTTGTTTTTGAGTGACCACCAAAGCGGCCGTCAATTGTTTGGCCATGTTTGTTGACTAATTAATGACACTTGAATGCTTGATTTCACCGAATGCCCCACAGTTGCATTTGCATCCATCCACTTCCGAATGCCGCCCATCTGTGGGATCAGTCAAAGCGATGCCGTTGACCTTGCCTGGCCCAACCGGGAGCCACTGCAGCTGTCCGGCTCGATGCCAATCGAGTTCATTTGTAATTTAACAGGCTGCTGCAGCCATTCGCATTTTGATGGCCAAACGGATTTTGAGCAGACTTCCTGCTGTTCGTCGATCTGTTTGTTTATACAAATACATGACTAAAGCCCAGTTAAATGCTGTAAATGCCCATTTAGATTATATCTCTGGGCATTACACATCCAAGTCTCGCTTAACATGTTCACACCTCCTGTTGAGCGGCGCTAAGTGGCAGTATTTGTTGTTTGGCGAATTTCAGCACTCGTGCAGACCCGCAGCGACTAATTGCAGTCAGCTGTAGGTGCCGGCAGTGTCCACTGGCGGCCACCAACCAGCACAAATAGAGCTAGGGCGGCATCGGGCCAGAGTCCGGTATCATAATTAATTCAAATTTAAATTTCCTTTTGGCGCATTGCACGCGCCTGCTTCGCAGGGGGCGAGTGCGGTCGGTCAGGTGGCCATAATCATGCGCGGCTTTTAGCGTCTGCCACGCCCCCGACACACGTGTGTGGGCTAGTGTGTGTGTTGGCAGCCAGTATAATAAACTGTTTAAATATTTAGTTGAAACGAGTTTTTAATGCTCATTTGCGCTTTTAGCAGCCGGCTTCAGCTAACGGGGCTGAGAGTCGGAGCTGGCTAACATTTTCGGCTGTCCGGGCCAGCAACCAGTAAAAGGGTGAATGCCGTCATAGCCGTGCACTTGTTTTTGTTGTAGTCGCATCGTGAAATCGCCCTTACATAATTACAGATTGCGATGCCAACACGCTTCGGTGGGCCAAGCAGCTGTTGTTGCTCCAGCAGCCGCTTATTAATTTTTAATTATGCCCAAAGACGGGCTTGACCTTTTTCATGCAGCCCTGAGCATCTGGGCTTGCCTTGCCGGTGCCCCGGCCCGAGTTCGCAACCTTTTCCGCCTCCTTAGGCATCCTGATGTGGGTAATCAGCGGGCTGTTTAATCTGCAGTTGTTGAAGCCACTTTCCACATGAAATTTAATAGAGTCGACGGTTGGCTAGCAGTGCGACTCATTACTTAGATCGCATATATGTACATATGTATTCAAATGGATAGCAGACTCCTTGCGCTGCACAAAAAAGGGAAAAGCCAAGAAAATGCTGCCTGAGTCTAGTCGGTGTTTACTTTCCAATTGCCGAAGCAGAAAATGTAACAAGTGCAAGTCGCGAAATGAGAGGCAAATCTGAAGGCATTCTCGGAAAAATATTTTTCCTCTTTTTTTCTAGGTGCCATTTCGCAATTATTCAAATTGCCAGCACCGGCTGTGTAGTGCGTGTGTCTGAGGCTTAGCTGTCATTTCGCTGAGTGCAGCACCTCGCTTTGGACGAGGTGCGAAAACTGGCACGTAATTCGGCCTGCAGCTGCCAGCCGAGCTGCAGTGAAACCTGTCAGCTGGCCAGCGAGCTACCCAACTATGCGGCAGCTGAGAGCTGACCCCAGGGCTGCAGATATTCGCCAATAAATTAAAAAATGTTTGCCCAGCAGCTATGGAAAACTAATTACTCTATTACAAGCGATGGATAATGCTTTGAGGGGCGGACAAGGGGAGAAGGAATAGTGAATCTGAACTCTTAAGGCTTTAGTGCTTGAGAATAGATAGTAAATTCTGTATAACAAAAATTGGGTTTTCGCCATGTTGCGTATGAGCGATGAAGTGCAAATGCATCTGACTGACGACGCTCACAACAAGACATGAGAAATGCTCGGGAAAACATTTCCAAATGGTGCCTGGGCCCAACAAATGCACCACTAAAAGTTGCACAAACAACCACCAATCAGTCAAGCAGTCAGTCGGACAGTCAGTCAGTCAGCCAACAAGCCAGCCAGCCAGTGTTGGGTTACGGATACGGATACGGAAAACATATACTGTCAGCTACATCCTTCTTTGCCTCTCTGCTTCTTCTACTATGTGTCAGAGAGCGGGGCGGGTCGGGTCGGTCTGCGGGATACTGACTAAAAATGCTTTCGGTTTGCGCAAAATGCAATTCGCCGGAAAATGACGCGTGCCACTGGCTGACAACTAATGTAGCGCACTGTTGCTGCTGCTGCTGCTTTTGGTAGTACAGCTAGCCAACATTTCGTTTTTTGTAAATTTATTGTAGCCCTGTTGTTTAGGCCACACTGACAGACAGCTACCTAATTGAAATTCAGCTAAAAAATGATCTCATCTAGCTAGCAGCACTTCCCAAACATTTGCATGCAATAGCAAAAACCATAAATGAGATTGATGACGCAGAAAGTCCACAAAATATGCAACTGTATATTATTTCATGAGGGAAATTTTTATAATATTACTTTAAGAATGTATAAATATTTTATTTTTCAATATACTCTAATATCTAAAATATATTAAAAATATATATATAAATACTTTTTTGTTATTCATTCTCTATCAAATTGAATATACAATTTTTGTTCACATGGACTATATTCTGGATGTACCAGGGTAAAAGTCCGTTTTTATGTTCATACATTACAAAATATAAATATGATTTGCTATGCTATGCTAGAGTGAATAACTTATATTGCATTGTTAGATTAAATAAGATATATTAAAAGGTAGGTATTTTATTTTATTATGATATGGTATGAACTCTACTGGTGAGGGACTAAGGTGATATAAGATTATGGAAAATTGCAATTAAATGATTAAAATAATTATGTTATTTCAAATTATTATGCCTGTGATTGTATGAGAGTATGAATACAATTAGAATGTGAATGAATCAATTAATATGAGTGGGATTGAATGAAAGTATGAATACAATTATAATTGTCCAATAGATCAGTGAAATCGATTAATTTATGATTATGTGTTATGTTGAATGCGCGTATATATATATTATATATATGTAAATTAAATGCCAGAAAATGCACGGTCATGTCCGTCTTTTTCAGTTATTGGAACATGCATTTAGTCCAATTTGATGGCCTCCTTGATCACATGAATGCCACTGGGGGCCTTTTTGGTCACATCCTCGCTCAGCTGCCAAGAGATGGCGCCAGTTTTGTCGTCGCGCTGCTGCACACATTTGATTACCTGGCGATTCTCCGGGAGCAGCGTCATGGCGCCCGGATACTCAATGAAGACCACCAGACCCAGGGTCTCCGCGAGCTCAATAATGCGATGCAAGTAGCGCAAGCAGAACCACTTCTGTCATAAGGATGCGTCAAAGAGCGAGATTTATAAGATCGTGTCAAGTGCTTTGCGATTAGTCGAAACTTACAGTAGAGTTGCCTTGGCCATCTGCCTTCGATTGGGTGCCGTTCATAAAGGTGGCCGTGGCGTACTGGAGGCATACAAACTCGCTCAGCTGTGGTGGCAAGGGGGGTTATATAGCATAGTCTACAGAGCTTACGGTGCAACTCATACAAACCTTTTCGAGTTGGCCCAGGAACAGCACCGACTGCTTGGCAATGTGTGCGAGTGCCAGCTGAAAGGCCACCAGCAGTATATCCATGATGTTGTGGTCAGTGCGATTCCAAAAGGAGTCGCTCTCGTCACGAATCAGCTTGATGCTGCTGCGCACGTTACAGAAGTCAAAGTCGTCCACGGTCTGGGAAAGTGAAATCAATTCAAATTAAATGCAATGGCGTTGAATATGAAGACTCAGTGGCTATAGGTACTGCTCTCTTACCACCTGATCCAGAGCAGTATAGCGATTGAGGCGTGGCACAAAGAACCACACGGTGTACTCATTGATCGTGATGTACTCGAAGATGATGCGAACTCTGTCGAACATTTGCAACAGGAAGCGACGTTCGCTCTGGCGAGTCGCCTCGCTGGCAGCCAGGCAATTGGTGGCCAGCTTCTTCAGAAGAGCCTGCTGATGGTCGTTGTTTTGGCGATCCAACAGCTTGACAAAAGTGTCAAACGGATTTCCATCCTCCCTGCAATAATGGTAATAGAGACTCGTGAGCTTTTCAAAGTCGCCCAGAAAGCGTGAGGGGGTGTGGCAGGCACCTGAGATTGCGATAGGTGCTGGCATCGGCCTGAATAATCTTGAGCCAGTTATTGGCGTACTCCTGCTGGTAGGTGCACATCAGCTCCGTCAGTCGCGGCGGCTGTACGAAGAATATGTTGTGGAACTCGACAACGGACACCTCGCGCCACTCGCCCATATTGAGCTGGAAGCTAATGTAGTCCAAGCAGTCCTCGTCGTCGAAGCGGCGATGTACGTTCACCTCGTACACCATTTGGCGGCGCGAGCGCATAATTTGCTTCATCAGAGCGCGGCGCTCCTGACGCTCCAGGGCCTGCTTCGAAGTGCTGGGCTCCAGGTCCAGGTCGCTCTCGGGATCCGGATCGTATTCAACACTAATGCCCCCCAGGCGCTCCAGCTTGAAGCTCATCTTCACGCTGCCCTTGCCTATTTCCAGCTGTGACAAGCGGCGCAAGCTCTCGCCATTGCTGTACTCCATGCTGCACATCAGCTGCAGGGCGAGGCCCACGGGCGTCACCATCAGGGACGACGATGGCACTGTGCCATTCGGCTTGTCCAGATTGTACAGCAAGAGATGCACATTGTCAACTTGGGAGAACTTCAAAAACTCCTTCTCGCAGCCCAAACAGTTTTCAATAGTCAGCTGGACAATCGAAATAGGCGATGAATTGTAATTTCCCCAAATATAATTTTATTCCTTCAATTATCTTTCAATGCAATTCAATTCCCCTTGACTTACCGAGACAATTTGTAACACATTGGTTTCTTGTTGTTCAGCCATTTTACACAGTTTTTCCTCGTAGATTTATTTTCTTTTTAACGAAATTTTCTTAAGCTTTGACACACTCGCAGCGACTTTTCAGAAAGAGTGTTGGTGAACGTTGGCAGGGTCGGCCTCTTTTCAATATCGATGACAGTGACGGGCTTGAGCAATAATCGAATCGCCATTGCAATCGAATGCAATTCGCCAGAGTTGCCATTTCTTCGTCACACAAAAAACTAAATTTTGCTGGAAATTTGATTAAAAGAAGCTCAATAGGAATTCGAATAGATAATATAATATAAATAAAGATATTTAATTTATGATTTTGTATAAAAGTTAGATATTTTTCATTGCAAAGAAAAAAAAAAACATTAATATTAAGAAATACTTTTATATGTAATAATATGCAAGAATTCTCTTTTCGCTGTGTTCAAATTCGTCTCACAATCAGATTTTCAAGATGCCAGATCTGACGCGAAAAAAGCTGAAATAGCATCAGTGGGCACATTTAGTGCTGGTAAACGTCATTTCGAATTGACACCCGAAATGACGTTATTTTTTAAACTGACTGGGCCGTTGGGACAATCTGCAATCCGATTAACCCCTCGACGATCGCTTCAGTCCAATATAAATATTGTGAAATCAACAAGGAATTAACATTATGAGGCAAAGCCGGCCGCACGCGAAGTGAGCCGTTAAAATTAGAATTAACGGCTTTCTAAGTGCCATAAAAGCTGCCACAGTGTTTAGCCCGGCCAACAATTAGTCCGACGTGGCATATTAAAATCGCTATAAAATGCCATTTTTCGTTATACCAAAAGAGAAAAATAAATAAAACGAAAAACCAAAGATGCTGATGTGCTTGGAGTGCTTTTTAATTTAGTACAGCTTTGGCCAATGTCATCGGACTAATGCCGCCTCGTAAAACACGCAACAAAGTCATAATTTGTCGGTTAAGCAAATAAAAGCAAAATTGTGAATTTTCTTTGCGAATTTTTACGATGCCGCCTTCTCGACAGCATCTGAACAGAGATTTTCGGGAAAATACTGCAACTCGAAACGGGAACGGGAACGGGAACTTAATTTTAAAATGAATAAATATATATCTATATATATATATATGTGTTTATTTTTACATGTATATGTATTTTTAATACGTGCATTCATGCATACAAAATACAAACATTTTATTTTGCTTTTTGAATTTTAATGATGATTGCCTTTTGGCGCAGTGCGTGCCTCTTGATTTATAGCCTCGCTTTCGGCCAGATGCGCTGCAAGATTTCCGCATCTATGCTAGGCCGATCATTAGGCCTTAAAGGCTGGACATGAATATCTGTCTGGCTGCATATATATGCATACATATATCATATCTGAGGACCACACACACACACAGCTTTTAATTATCAGTGGCCCATGCAGCAGGCCTAGCCATTGCCATTACCAATACACAAGTAATTCAATAAGCTGACCAATAAATTTTTGCCTTCATTTGCTCTCGTAAAATCAAAACACTTTGGCCAGCTCCGTGCAGCTGTGGCTCTAGTCGCAATAGAGCTGTGACCACCTAATAAGCCAAACTCGCCGACGGCTCGATTCGCCAGCTCGTAATGCAAACGGAATTATTGCAATTTAACGGAGGATCGCGATCCCCTGGAGTCGTCGTCTCTCTCGTGCATTGCAATTAGTTGGCAACTCGTTGGCGCTGCCTCGGGCTCGGCCGCCTGCATTGGGCCGGTCTCACAGCAGTAGTCGTTGAGATTTTATCGCTTACATAAATTTCCTTGGATAAAAGCGCGAAAATGTTGCTCATGACTGGCAATATGTCCAGACACACATCACAGGCACACACAGACACAATCACTGGCACACGACTACAGTCTCCTTGGTCTGCCCCGCCCCCACAGTCTTCGATCATTGAGGAAAAGAAATTATAGCAATTTGCTTGTCAAATTGTTGCAAGCCGGCACAATAAATCGAACTCTTAATGGTTCCATCGCGATAGAGTTGTTTTAGAAATAAATTATCCTCGAGGCAGCACAGGCTGCAGCCACAGATCCTCGCAGCCTTTCATCGTCGTTTAGTGATTGTAAAATGTGCAATTTCATTGGTATGCCTCTTACTTCAATCCCATTCATTTGCAGCACTAATTTAATGGTGCTATGCCATAGAATGGCCAAATTGAATTTAGCGGTGATCAAATTGATTGAAATATTGTTTGCTATTGATTGATGGCATGCGGGCGGGCCACGTTGTCTGCAAGTGGCCAAGCTCTGAGAAGAACTGGACAGTAAGAAAGGAGCCAAAGTTGATCGACTGGAAAGTATGATGGAAATCCATTTGTAATATCTACATGTATCTATAAGAGCGTGAAGAACTGTGTTGACCTGAGGAGCTATCAAGATTTCTAAGACATTAATGTAAAGAGCTCCAGCTCCGATTCCAGTTCGATTCTTAGGCTAAGTCACTGATATCCAAAAGCCACCAATGCCCGAAATAAAACAATGTTGCTGAGTTTTCGTCTAGCCACTGGCCAAGTGCATGGGTCAATGGTTTCTGCTAGCAATTCTCTCTGCTTTTAGGCCAATTGTTGCCAGCCGACTCACATTTGCAATTATGGGCATTTTTATTGTCTTCGCTTGCACCTGATATGGTCTGCCTTGAGCCAGGATGCTGGATGCTGGATGCTGGATGCTGAATGTGGGCAGAGGAGCCGCATGTGGCAGCTGAATCGAACGAAGCTCTGTGTGCTGCCTTTGCTTCCGTAATTCGAAATGTTTACGGTACATTTAATTTCATTTGGATTATTACAATATGCTTTAGGAGACTAGCTCCCAAATGTTTGGCTGCTATCCGTCTCTCCATCCCTCCCTCTCTTTCTCTCTCTCTCTCTCTCTCTCTCTGTCCCTCTTACTCGTTCTCTCGCTCTGATGCCATCGTTCCCCTCTCTTGTTTTCTGTGTTTTTCGCATGCTCCATTTGCGGCGTCTTTCGCCGGAACAATGAGCCATGAAGTGGGTGGGCGTGGCCTGTGCTTGGGCCTGGGCCTTTAGTCGACACTCAGGTGCTCGTATTTCATTGTTGTTGCCAAAATGTAATTGCGAATTTCAGACAAATGTGAAATTTGAATTTACAAGTTTAACTTTTCTTGTAACGAGTAAAATCATTTGTTTGCCTTGCTTACAGGCACAATCGTTCCTTCCGTATATACATATATATGTATATGTGAGAGCGTGTGTGTGTGTGTTGAATGTGTGTTGAATGTGCAGTTGGCAAACCTTGACTAAGTTCATTTGTTCCATTTCAACGCTCCCAGCAGCTGCCAGAAGTAACAGAAGCGTCTACTTCCGCCGCATTTCTTGCCAGGCCGCATAAGCAAATGTACTTGCCTGCTCGTGGATACTGCCGCTCCAGACTGTTCCTAACCGTATTTTCACTTTTTCCCACCATTTCCCAATAGTAAGCGCAATGAATTCTTACATATGTAGGCAGACCCACTAGTAGTGCTGGCATCCCTTGACAGACCAGATCATTTGATTAGGAAATCTAGAAAAACCTTTACAAATATATTGCTGTTACATTTTGTATACCCAATCAGGGTTTATATGTATATAATTTGTAATGTATGTATAAATGGTCCCGTTTTTATATGAAGCACGGATGTGCGCTAAGATTTTGTATGGTATAACCTTCACTCAAAAGGCAAGAGCTGGGATCGTCGTGGACGAATTTCAATTATTGTGCGCTGCTGAGTTGGATGATTTGAGTGACCATAGAGTGAGAGAGAGAGAGAGAGAGAAAAAGGGAGAGAGAGAGTGGGAGAGAGAAAGAAGAGAGAGGTAGAGTGAGGGAGAGTAGGACACATAGCGCCACCCGTGCTCCATATAAAAACGGGACCATTTTTTCAGAGCGCTCACAGCGCACTGGCTTTGTTGTGCTGTATTTTCACTGCTCGAGCCTCAAGAGACTGAGCCGAGCAAATACGAAGTTGAGGAGTCTCTCATCCACATATGTATTTCGGCGCTGAAAACGCCATCTACATACATATGTGTTCTCTGGTCAGTGATTTGAGCTACATACATATGTATGTATATGGGACACGATGATCAATTGTCGAGTCAGTAGTTTGTCAATTCAGCTTTTATATCAGTCAGGCAGTCGATTGGCATTAAAGAGCTTCGCTTGCGCATCTTTAAATATAAAATATGAACTCTATTACCCATTTTCAGTTTTTATTCTCCGCTATCCAATGTAATCCAAAGAACTTAATAAACTCATTTGTGCGTTAATATGACTTATTCAGTTTGAAGAAGTGAATAATGTAATTTAAATTTCTAATTCATATGTATGTATGTATGTATATTTTTTTCGATTATTGTATATATGTATGTACACAACGTGTGTAGGTATAATTATGTATGCATGCGAGTAATGCAAACATACATACATACAGGATTATTCTATGGTTGGTGATGCTATTTACTCGTATAGCGATCAGCTTGTGTCAGTGCTGGCTTACAAATGCCGATCAGCTTGTGTCCGTGTTGAATGCATGTTATTTGAATTAATAAACTTTCTGTATGGCTTATGTATACCTAAATATATTATATACATATATGTATATATCTATAGGTGTACCTATTTAGTATATGGAATCGTCTACGTTTTGCTATATCTATACATATGTATGTATGCGTTTACAGCTAATTGTGAATACACATAGAGGTGGAAAATGGAAACCCAAGAAGCAAACAACTGTGACTGCTTTTGTATATCGATTGTGAAATTGTGAACCATTTCGCGTGATCAGCATCGAAGTTATGTATGTATTAGCAGAATCGTGGGCTTCCCATAAAGCTGTCGGCAAGTTGAGCCAGTTGCTTCTGATTATAAGGTATTTTGTCATATAAAAATAAGAAATACTATGTAATTAATTATAATTTTAAAATTTGTAGCTTTCAGAGATATCATAAAAGTAAATTAATATTATGGCACTCCCATATTATATACCTAGTAAGGATATGCTGCTAGCGTTCAAAGCTAATTTTAGTGAAGAAAGTCTCAGAGCGAATGATGCTAGATTTAACGAATATCTGGATGAACGAAAATTGGGCTACGATAACATCGTCTCTGTTCTTAGAAAGCTGCACACTATTGAGGATATCGTCCAAATGAATCAATATACTTAACTATACCAGACGAATGCAAGAGTTACAAAACATCCACAAAAGCAGGTGGATAACAGCGCTGAATTCTACAAATTGAAATTTGGCCAGTTGCCCATCAATCCCAAAGATGTCATTGAGGCTCATGTGGACGAGCTTATACTTATTTCTGAAGAAAGTCTGCGAGTAAATCCATTGCCGACCCCGCTGTTCATGGCACAGCTGCCACATGCCCATGAGCACCATGGCATGGGGAATCAAATGTGTCGGTATTTTGGCCATATTGTTCAGTGTGAATAACACTTTTGTTGTTTTCAAAAACCGAGGGATACCCGCAAAGGCATTGAAAAAGAAATGGACTGTAGTCTTTAGGTCGAACCGCGTGATGTTTCGTTTGATTTATAACGTACTCGATGTACTTAAGAGTTGTCGAATCTATCGACAATATCTACTTCCCATTACCGATGTCAGCCAGCCATCAACACTGAAATTGCGACTAATGCTGAACAGCTGCAGGCTGTTCGGCATATTATCTCCGGAGCCAGCACTGTTTCGCCATACATTCTACTTGGAACACCAGGTGAGTGAGAGGCAGAGCGAGAGAGAGAGAGAGAGAGGTATAGACAACGACTGATTGCATCCCCTTATAGGCACTGGAAACCACAACCATAGTGGAGGCTATTCTCCAACTGTATGTACTCAACCAGGGTCGCATCCTGGTGACAGCGGGCTCCAACTCAGCCTGCAATACAATCGCTCTGAAGATATGTGAACATAATGAGAATCACAAAAAGTTTGTCACTTTGCCCATCGACAAGAAAAGAAAGGCGGTGTTTCGCCTATTCTCAAACCTAATATATTGAAAAGGAGATTTGCGTTCTGTACATCCCTTGGTATTGAAATACTCGAATTTTTCCGATTGTCCCATCGAGGACGATGTAAGATTAAAGGACTGTCGAATAATTGTGACGACCTTATGCATGGCTGGCGTTCTCGCCTTCAGGCAAAAATGTTTGCCTTTTGCATATGTTTTCATTGATGAGGCAGCCGCTTCCACGGCATCAAGGGCTCCGCTTGCCACGTAATACTATCTGGAGACCACAAGCAGTTGGGCCCCGTTGTCATTGACAAGAGTGCAGCTGCGCTGGGTCTGCGCCAGTCACCAACGGAGCGTCTGATGCTGAGCAAACCGTACGAGGTCGATGCTGCAACGATGGGCAACTATGATTGCACGCTGCAAACGCGATTGCGTTACAACTATAGATCCCATCCGAAGATTATGGGGCTGTTCAATAAGCTATACTAAAATGACGAGCTTATTGCGATGATAATTTGGCCGCATCATGGAGCCACTTGCCAAACGCACAGTCTCCCGTTTTATGCCATGCTGTATTTGGGAAAACTAGCCGCAGTCCGCAGTCAACGAGCAGCTACAACGATCAAGAGGCCAAGGTGCTGGCGTGGTATATAGAACCATGCTCAGGAAGGGCATTGGTAATGCCGTCAAGCCGCAGGCGCAGGACATTGGCGTCATCACGCCATATAAGGCACAGTGTGAGCGGCTCAAGCACTTCCTACTCAAACAGGGCCATCAGGCTGTCTGTCTGTACCGTGCATGGATGCCAGGGCCAAGAGAAGCCAATAGTGGTTGGCTCCCTGGTTTGCTCCAATGCTGACACGACCATCGTGGCCAATCCACAACTGCTGAATGTGCTAATCTCGCGAGCCAAGTCGCTATTGATACTGATTGGCAATCCGTATACTTTGGCTAAGAATCAAGGCTTTCGCTGTATAATTGAGCAATGCAAACTGAGTGGAAACTTGTTGGGTGTGAGGAACTTTCGCATGAAATCTTATACAGCATGAACTGTTCCTATTTATGCATATACATATAACGCTGTATGTATATTTATTTTATCAAATGAAATTTGTTTTTATTATATCTACAAAGTATGTCCTGTATGCATAAAATAATATAAATAAGCACAATGTATGAATGTTATTAAGCTGCTTATTAATTTGCTTGCTGGATAAATTGTGAGCCGCATTTGCGCGTCTTTACTGTAGCTAGAATTGTTCGCCGGCTTTTGTCCATTTGTTTGGGCTTTGTGCGCCGTGGGGAGCTTTTGTGCTCGAGCGTCATACCGAAAATGTTGCATTTCACGTATTGTTGGCGCTGGCTGTGGCATTCGCTCGTGCCTTTACTTTGCTGGCTGTTACACATTTTCTTGCTCTTCTCCTATTGTTGTAGCAGAGCCACAGCCGCAGCCAGAGCCAGCAGTGATGCGTTCTGGTCTGCCACATAAAACAGTGGGCCACACACAGTCCAGGTCCCATATAGAGTCCGCAGCAGCCTTTGCATGCACACATGCACAAACACAATTAGAGACTTGGTTTGTTGGTTCAACTTGTTTGCTTACATTCAACTTACTTCACTTCTGCTGGGTTGGTTTCTTCTTCTGCTTCTTCTTTTTTTCCTTGCCTCCTCGCTCTCTCGAAAGTTTTTGGCCAACTTTGTTCACGTCATTGTGTGAACGCCTTAACTTAATTTTGTGGATTTCTATGCATTTCTTCACTCTCTCGCTCTTTCGCTCATCATCTTTCGCACTCTCTCTCGCTGTGAGAGTGTGTGTTCAGAGTTTTGTGATTGTTTAAATGTTGTATAATTCACTGATTTCTTGTGGCTTTTGTTGTATTTTTGTGTGCGACTCTGTGATTACGTTTGGTTTGAAATCTGGGCGCACGATGCGTATGAGCAATGTTCGTTGTGTGTGTGCAAAGCGAAATACAAGAGAGCATTGCATGGAAATATGAGGAAATGGAATAATTAAATTGCTTTGCTTTTCACTAGATATTCGAATTTAACTCAACACTCAAGTGTTTTTTATTTAATATATATAATAAAATAAAAGCAATCAAACTCTATTAAAATAAGTATTATACATTTTAGATTTATATTAATAAATAAAAGTTAGAGCTTTATACTAGATAAACATCATTATTGCAATCCACCCAAGAAATCTTTTTGAGCTATAAAATAACCCCAAATACTGAAAGTAGCCCAAAATAAAAAGAAGAGGAAGAATAAAACTCTTCAAAGTCCTCATTTTCCAGTGAGGGGAGCATCATGCACTGCACATTGTTGTATCCGAAATTTATTGGCAGCACTTATCAGATTCGCTCATAAATCTGAGAAAAAAGCCGGTCAAAGCCAATCCGATGCGTGGGTGGTGCCTGGAGCGGGTTAGCGGTGAGCCAGACATTTATTTGCATGCTTCACTGTCCACTGTCCAGTGTCCAGTGTCCAGTGTCCAGCATTCAGTATTCAGTGTCCTGTGTCCAGTGCCCAGTGCCCAGTGCTGGTCGCACAATCCACAAATTAACATGACATTTTTACAAGCCCAAACATGTGTACACATGGGCCTCCGGTCGGAGCGAGCTCCCACTCGAAATTAATAGCCGTCCGGCCAGGCGGCCAGTCAGGCATGATAATAAAAACAACAACTAGGAAATATCATGAACGGCCTAGGCGGCCCGTTATGGACACGGGCCAAAAAGTCAAACATTTGAATAGCAGCTGCGTCTGTTGAATATTGAGATCGAAGCGAACAGGTTGCCAGTTTATGCATGTGCCGCCTGGCCATAAATTTAATTACTCAAAGCAGCCGGAATGAGCAAAACAAAAAGCCATTTGCAAACCCCTTTCGAGCCCCCAGCCCGCATTATAATTTGGGCCAAGTGATGTGTACACATACTCAACGTTTTCATTGACAGTTGTTCATGAAAGGCAAAAGCTGAGCACAAAGCAGAGAGTGAGAGAGAGAGAGAGAGAGACTCACAAATCATGACAAAACATTTGGCCAACAAGTTTGCTTTCTTTTTTTTCGGGTTTGTTTTTGTATTTCGGTGCAAAATTCAAGCATGGCAAGGACGATGACGCTGATGACGATGATGAAGTTATCAGTAAAAACAAGCAAAATGTTGGCACAGTTTTAAAAAGCCATAAAGTTAGTAGCAACAACAACAACAAATTCGAGCATGGGAGGACAGAGAAAAATGCAAAAAGCAAAGAGAAAAAAAAAAAAATAAGAGCGAAATACAACAATCAAAAAAGCAGACTGCAAATGCTAAACAAGGCAACAAAGTTTAGACAGCATCTGAAACTCAGGGCAGGGAGAATATTCTGTGAGGCTTGTGGGTGCAGCCGGTGCATGATGCTCTTTGTGATTAAAAGCGAATGTCCTGGCTGTAAATGTTTTGTGCGGCATCAAACGACAAGTCCAATTCGTGTTGACATTCGTGTTGCCAACAGAGTGGGAGCGAGAGAGAGAAAGAGAGCGAGAAACAGTGAGAGAGACAGCGATTCATTATTGCTGCTTAAGCACTTATTCGAATGCAGCTGGCGGCCTGTCGCAAGCCGAGCAAAGCCATTCCAAAATGTGGCTAGAGCGAAGAAGCTGCCGACTGGATTTTGAAGCGGCAATTATGGCTCATTTCCGTGCCAGGACAAGGCCAACTGACAGCTCTCTGTGGCTAACCGAAATGTTCAAGAATGCTTTCAGTCGAATTGTTTTATAAAATATCACAGTCGATTCTCAAATGGAATTTTTCATGAGTAGCGCAATCGTCAGCGGGTTTATTAACGTGAGCATTTTATAATAATCTGCATGTTTATTCATAATAAATTTTATATATTTTTCATAAATAGTAAACGATTTTACGACACAAATATTTATAAATATATTTATTTAAATATTTGCTTACTTACAATCTATATATAAATGAAATAAATTATTGCTTTAATTTTTTTACATTGTGTTTACTTCATAAAAAATATATAATAAAAGTAATTTTTTTTTTTATTTAATACTAAATTAATATATCATGTCAATTAAACAATATAGAAGAATAGACAAATAATAAAAATAAATAATTAATCAAATAAATATATAAATAACAAATATTTCTTTATGATTATATTATATATATATGTGGATACATGTATAATATAATTATAAGACATATTTATAGAAATTAAAATGCTGTTATTATATAGCATATTTGGATTTTTTATTTGCTACAAAATCTTTTGTAGGGCATTTCGCTGTCGCATATTCCTCAACAAAATACACAATTGTTGCTAAATAATTTTGCAATTTAAATCTGTTTTTAAGTTATGTGTTGTTTTCACATGCTAAACGACAAATATAAAACATTTTGTAAGCCGCTTATTTGTGTGCAGCTATTATATAGCTTAATATTGGGTATATTTACGAAATACTTTGTATTCTATATGTATGTACGAAGTTTGATTGTTGGCTTACACACTTCACACACACACACACTCACACACATGCACGCACAGCATTTGCAAAATTACATTCTCCAAGTGTTTAGGTCCAGGCACCTGCTGCAGGCCCTCTTCTCCCTCACGCTGATGCCTCCCATACAAAAATATGACGTATGTTGATGCTAACATGCAGAGTTGCCCGCAAAATAATAAAATGATTCTAATAAATTTTGTGCTACGAAATATTCCAAAACTCGGTCCACTGCCATCAAGAGGAAGCTGCACATTTTGCAGAAAGCGCTTGTGGGTGTATTTCTCTCTCTCTCTCTCTCTCTCTCTCTCTCTCTCACTCTCTCACTCTCTCACTCTCTATCTCTCTCTCGCTCTCTGTCTCACTGTGTAGAGTATAAAAGGAATTAGGAATGCAATTTGAGGTTATGTTGGCAATGTGCGCCCAGGCAGATCGGCCGTACAGTAGTCCCGTTAGCCGCCTCCGTAGCCAAGCAACCGCATCCCTAGCTGTATGTGCCTGTGTGTCAGTTAGTCAAACAGACAGTTGGTCTGGCAGTTGGACATATGCAGACGCAGCAAGCCAACCGTACGGCCCCGAGTCCAAGCCACCGCCCACCCGAACCCGCCCACTTTTGTGTATTACACTCAAACCCAAGAATTGCCCAGATATTAATAGACAAAATTTGGAGTATTGCTTCCGTCATGAATAAAATTTTCGTGCAGTAGATGCAACGCATTGCCAACTTGAGAGGTTTCTCAACTTTTGCACAAGCCACTCCCAATCCCCGCTCCCACTCCATTGTCACCCCAGTGCCGACCCCCGCCAGGAAGGGGCGCCTCTGTTCAGCAGTGGAGCACTCACATTGTCGTCGTGTGCGTCAGTTTCCTTGAAAGTTTTCAAAATGTCCATTCGTGGAGCATTCAACGTCCATTCAGCTGTCTGTTTTTGTGGGTTTTTTTAATTTTAATGATGCTCTGTGTCCGCCAGCTGCCACTCCCACAAAAAAATGTAAAATACTTGGGGGAGCTGCTTCTGCGAAAATTCTCAACCAAAACAATTTCGGGCATGTGCATTTTATGTGCGCATCGGGACTCGGAGACCCCGTTCGCATGGAACTCTATGGAAAAGTATTTCTGTGTTTGTGTTTATTCGTATGTACTTATGGCAATAGCTGCTGCTCCTGCTCCTGCTCCTGCTGCAGCTAGATGGCAGTTTAAATGAGATTATTTTAGTTTTGGCATAGTTGAAATTTTTGCAAACTTGTTTCGTAATTTAGCAACAAAAAAAGGGACATTTTCTGTGCGCTCAGAGGTAAAGAGGTAAAGCAGACTTACAGTAGGCTGAGCTCTATTCATCATCTATAGCAAAAGTCGAAGAGATACTCAGGACATTATGGGAATATCTTACTTGAGCTGAATGTTAATCATCAATCAATCAATCAATCAATCAATCAATTGGTCAATCACAGCCTCTACTAAGATAGATAGAGCTGCCAGCCCCAAGTTGGCGCCGCGTTCTTCAATCGGCAGATTTGTGGCAAACCCAGTGCGGCCAATGTAAAAT